TTCCGATGAACACATTAGCTCCGACATCAAGGTTCTTCTGATGTGCTGATGCCTTATTGACTCTTACAGGCTTACCATATAGTTTTATCATATTCATCACCTGAAAAGTAACAAAAATATTACTAGAAAGAAGACATGTTCTTTTCAAATATATTGGAGGCTCATGGTAATCGGAGTGGTGTGCAGTACCTTTCCCCAAAATTTGTGTTCTGCACAGCAACTCACACAAAGAGCTGCCAAGATATCTGAAAAGTACTATATGGGATTGTATTCCTTTTTATGGCGACAAATTTTACTTGAAAAATACAGTATATTTTGAGTTAATTTTTAAATAATAAAGTTCATGGCATTTCATTCAATGTATAGTATTTTACTATCGAGTTTATGTTGTACTATTTTCCTAACTTTATGTTCTAAATGAAAAAAAAAATTGTTAAGATTCAAGTCTGTGCATTTAGTTATAAAGTACTACCTTGATGGCATAATCTGCATCTTCCTCTCCCATAAATTCCACAAATCCATATCCTTGATGTGTTTGTGATACACGGTCTTTGGGCATATGCACATTCACTGGAAGCCAAAGAGTAAACAATTTACTTGTACAGTTTAAAAATAATTTCAATTATGTATGAAAAAACAACAACTTATCAATATCAGTCTTGGAAGAGAATTGAGATTTAAATTTATACTAATCTGTACTTACCAACAGGTCCTGCTTGCACAAACAATTCCCAAAGGAGGCTCTCCGAGACTCTATCATCAAGACCACCAACATATATTGTGGCATCTGAAAGATAAACAATAATTGTGTTGATACATCAGTTATTTAGAGTTGGTTCTTGTATTTATGGAATTTTTACAGATATGAAACAAAGCGTTGCAGAGTAAAGTAATCAGCTTGGTGAGTTATGGAGTTTGAAATTTAATGTTACTTTACCCACCTTACCATGAGTTTGTTTTTTTTTTAAATTATAGTAAATATAAAATAGTTTGTTTTATGGATAATGCTAACTTGACTACAATAACTACAGAATATAACCTCAAATGAAAAACGCTAAGTATAACATTTATAAATTCATTCACCTTGATTCCGCTCAGCAATAGGACCAGCTGCCATATTTTTAGAATTACTAAACTTGAACACTTATTTTGTATGAAGATAACATTCCAAAATTGTCCTAAATAGTATTCGTATTCCTAAGGTTTAAATAAACAATATAGCATTACTGGCGTCTTCGCCGCCAATTTGACAGCAGACGTCATGTCCCGTGACAAAGAGTAACTGTCTTTTCTCTATGGTGCATAGGCATTTGATTTTATTTGCATCGGCATTAAAGTCATATATAGTGGGTAAATATTTCAAATAACACCTTAATTTCTTAAGGTTATAACGCTTTCGCGGTTTTGCCGCTGTTAAAATCTTTACAAAATTTCATTGTCGTTTGACACCATAGATTTTTGTGTTACCATAAATTATTTGTTTCACTCAGTTTCACTTTTAACAAAATGCAAAAGTGTTTCCATCGAGGATCGAAGCAAAGAGTATATAAAATAAGAGACGGGACTCTTGACTAATTAGATACACAAACGGAGTATAAAAATTGACATTTTCAATGCTAGCAATATTATGAACAAGTCTACGTTGCTACCAACCTAAAAAAATCTGTCAGTTTCCTTTTTGACAGGAAACGCGGGAAAGTTGAAATGCGGTGCCTTTTTTAAATTAAAATTTTAAATTTCGTTTTATTTTGTTGAAAATCACAAAACTTTCACAAGTTTTATTACTACTGGGTTCTCTCATCATGGGGAAACGTAAAAAGAAGAAACTGCCGGAAGAAGTTTTTGAAGAATCGACCGAAGAGGAAGAAGTAGATACAAGTACTGACGAAGATTCCGAGAAAGAGCAGCGTAAATATAAGCCGTATTTTGTATCAGATTACAGCAGGAGGTACCCTGAGGACTCTGTCCTCGTTGATTTTGTAGTTTTTATAGAATCACACGAAGAAAAAAAGCCAATCAGCACGCGGGACATGATGTCTCTATCCACTCATATAAAGAGATTTAATAAGGGAATTAAATATTTACAATCCATGAACAAATACAAAATAGGCGTTCATTTCGAAAAGCCTTCTTTAGCGAATGCTTTTTTAAATAACGTTACATTCCTCAATGAATACCAAATGAAGGCCTCTATCCCAGCTGTTGGGACAGAAATAACAGGCGTCATAACTAATGTTCCCAATAATCTTTCCAATTCGAGAATTTTTGCAATGTTAACAACTTACAGAAAGATTATATGTGTTAAAAGAATAATGAGAAAACGCAAGAATGACGCAGGACGTAGTTTTCTGCAGCCGAAGGGCACCGTGGCGATCACGTTTGCTTCTAATGTTTTGCCGGACCACGTCGATCTTCATGGTTGGCGGTTCTTAGTAAACCAATATATCCCACCAGTGAAAAAATAAAAGAAAATTACATAAAACCCCATTTATTGACCATTTTAATAAAAACGAATTCCCTGAATTGAACAAAAAAAATCATAAAGATGCTCTTATGTCACTGTTAAAAAATGATGACATTATTAATATAATTTTAAATACAGTCATTAAAGTATTAACTCTTAATAAATCAAATGAACAAACCACCATATCTTCTCAGCTTGTTAAAGATGTTCTCATAGATACAATGAAACCAAAATAGATATTTCATTATTTAACATTTAATATTTTATGGATCATTTTAACATTTTACAATGGAATGCACAGAGTTTAATTAAAAATTGCTTTCAATTTACACAATTTTTATACGAGAACAATATAGATGTTGCTCTTCTATGTGAAACTTGGCTTAAACCTAGGCAAAATTTTAGAATTAAAGGTTATAATATTGTACGTATCAAGTATCAAGTATAGATGACAACAATCTTGTACTCTTGAATGATGGTCAGATGACTACAGTAGGATCTCATAGATGGAGGCTGAATGCATTAGACTTAACATTTGTTTCATCTTCACTGGCACTGTCTTGTGAGTGGCAAGTATGTGATGATGACTCTCTAGGTAGCTATCATTTTCCTGTAAAGACAAAAATTACGGTCAATAATCAAATTTTTCAAGAAACAGCTGTATCAAATAACATTAACACAAAATTAGTTGATTGGTCAAAATATCAAACTTTAATAGATAACTTAATTAGAAATTATAGTTTTGATTATAGTAATCCTTTACAATGTTATACTGATTTAATAAAGTTAGTTAAACAAGCTATGCTTGAATCCATACCATCCAATCAGTCTTCTAATCAAAATGTTAAATTGCAATCTCCTAAACGAAATAAAGTAAAAGTTTCTCTACCTCGGTGGAATTCAAAATGCAAACAGGCAGTATTAAATTGTAAAAATGCATATTTAGGATTTAAGAATGATCCCACAGAAAGAAATTACATTAATTTTAAAAGACTACAAGCTGTTAAAAAAATTACATTAAAGACTGAAAGACAGCTTAGCTGGAAATTACTATGTGAAACTTTTAATAGATCTACTCCTTTGACTAGAGTATGGAATTACATTAAAAAGTTTAACAAAAGCTATGTTCATAATAACACATCAGTGATAAATTCTAATTGGGCTAAATTCTATGGAAAGTGGCGCCACCTTTTAAATCTTGGTACATCATTTCATCTCATGGCTAAGAAGAAACATCATTTGTGTCATCGAGACATTTATGTCATCAAACCGCTACGTTTTTTCGTATTTCTATTTCTGTTCTTGTATTCTTAGTTAAATGTTGTTTCATTCATTTTGTTTTTAATTAAAATGTGTTTTCATGAAAAAGGACGCTGTATGCAACTGTGTTTTAGATGGACTGCTTATGGTAAGTTACAATTCAATAAAAATTCTCATATTATTCCCATACGTCAGACTCATATAAATATTTTCGTATTTTGGTGTAGTTTTTATTTAGCACCATTGTGATTTACTTTCCGGTAAAATCATATTGAATGGTGCCCTAATTCTAATACATTTTACATATCAGTTCCTATGCTTGACAGGAAATCACATTCTGTTTGTTTGTTGTAGGTGCAAATGTACAAGGCTTTCCCCATCCTGAGAGACGGTCAGTGATGTTTAGAAAATGTGTGTCGATCACTGGAATTATAGAGCCATAAACTGATGTGTCTGAAATTAGTAGGTGGGTCCATATGTGTATATGTAAAAAATATTTTTTTGCTTGCCTATGTTGTAAGTAAGAGAATATGTTCAGAGTGTTTAAACTTGCAAATAACTAAAAATTGCGAGTTGCCAGCTAGCATGTGACTGAAAATTTTTTAAGGTTTGGTTTTAATTACAGGCATTGTTTTGTGACCGTGCTATACTATTTATTACCGTAAATGTAATTTTCAAAAATATACATTAAAAATTACAATATTGTGCTGATATCTTGAAAGTCATTGATGTATATGCAAGTACTTGCATAAATTTAAAATTAAGTTGTGTAGAAATTTAATATAAAATATAACAATATTTTGTTTTTATTTCCCCAATAATAGGATCATTTTAATAGAGGTATTTCATAGGAGGCTACTTGATATCGGCTCACTATATTAATAACTACATAAGTGGGTATGTTATTTTTGAACATTGATTTAATGTCAATTTTAACTTTATTAATTAGATTCCCACTTATTAGTTATTATTATAGTGAGCTAAATAAGCGTGCCTACGTATATAGGTACCAAAAAAAAAAAAATAGTTCACCCATTATACGCATGGAGCGCCACAATCGCCGTGGATCCACGACTTCGTGCGAGTTGCCCCTCTTTCTATAGTATACTTACTATACTCTTTGAAACTGATAGATTGATTTTTTTAGGTTGGTAGCAACGTAGACTTGTTCATAATATTGCTAGCATTGAAAATGACAATTTTTATTCTCCGTTTGTGTATCTAATTAGTCAAGAGTCCCGTCTCTTATTTTATATACTCTTTGGATCGAAGTTTATGATCATGATAAGTCAGTCAGTCAGTCATTATTATCAAGTTGTCAAAGTAAGACGAAGCGACTCGTGAAATAACGTCGTTTATAAAGTCTTATAACACTAACGCTCTTGTGTTTAATTTTTTTGTGCACTAAGTTAAATCTGATTACTGCCATAATATTGTTAACGATCGTATAATATTTATAAAAATGCAGAGCGCGTCCGATATAATCTCTTCCCTATTGTGGTTTAAAGACGATGGTTATCAAGAAGAAGAAAACAATGCACAAATAATCGAACAATTTGTTCAAAATGTTGAGGATTTTAGTTCTCAGTATGGGAGTGAAATTAGTGTTTCATACACCGCTTTCAATCTTCGTGGACCACCATCGAACTTTCCCGATTACGGAGACTATCCGCAAGCTTTTGTCATGGTAAACAACTTTGTTATAAAAAATGTTTATCTATAAAAGAAAAATAAAGTACCTCAATGTTACGCTGTATATTTAGGATGCGCAAAATAGAGAGGTAGCTCTTTATTATAAAGGCTGACAACGCAACGCATCAATGGTTCCTTTAATGTTGCGAATATCCATAGGCGTCGAAGATCACCTCGGTCTTTTCGTACCTCGTTTTACGCCTTTTCTAAAAAAAAAAAAATTTGATGAAAATATTTACCTCCTAATATGGAATCTTTTTGGAGATGTATTTCTTTTCATTGGATACATATACATATTTGATTAATGTGATTTGTAACTGAATATATTATTAACCAGAGAACATATGGGAAATGGTGGGATGAAGCACCATCTGTTCAAGAGGACTACATGCCACAAAATAGCCGTGCAATACCTAGTCAAGATTATGTTGGTTAGTACACCTTTATTTTATGAGATACAGGAAACAAGCAAATGAATTACCTGAATATAGATAACTTAAGGCTTAACTAATGTGTATTTCAGTCTGAGTTTTGACTAGTTTTAGACTCGGAGACTTCAGTGTGGAAGGATTTCCCCTAATTAGGTTGGTACTTAGACCGAAATACATATGAGTTAAGCTGTGATCTTTAGTTAGTGTGGATTATCTGATGTAATGGATATGTAAACCCTACCCCAAGGAAGTTGCAACAAATTAAGTTGCATGTGTGTCGCATACTGTTATCAGATAGAGGAAAGGACTAACAGATAAAGGATATTACCATTTTCTGTGTTCCCATTTCTATCCAATTACTTAGTTTGCTTGTTAGATAGTTATTCTAAGCTTTTATATACTCCCTGTCTATAACCTATAATTTTTGTTATCTCTTTAATAATATAACAGTGGCAACTGATATTTTTTGACTTATAAGACAATTTCACAACATAGGATATTTTAAATTAAATTGCCAGCACTAAATTAGTAGGATCAAACTCCTGTCTATTGAATAATCCTTTATTATACTGCAGAATCTTTCGACATCATAGTTATAGGTTATCTGTATCTTGATTTATTTTTAATATTTTTCAATGTCATGATGCCACTTGATTCCAATACACTCTTATCAGTTAAGGATTTGAATGTTGAGTTTAACCATTCATAATTTTTCTTAGGAATTTTAATTTCAATTATGTGTATAATCTATAAATCATAATTATATGATGTTTATTATTTTACATAGTGTGCAAACAATCAAGTGACCATCAGATTTCGCCTAAATGGCGAAGCGACCGCTGCCCATAGTTGGTTTTTAGAAGCTGTAATTAACTGTTGTCTTTATATTACTTAATGTGTTGTTAGCGTCAGTGTCGCAGTGAGTCACTCCACTCATAATCTAGATGTTCCTGGGTTCGGTTCTCGAAATGTACAGTCAGTGCCATTCGCGGTGTTCCACTTACAGAAAATATCTTCTTCTTTACAACGAGACAAACTTCACCGACGGACGGTATAATAGTAAAAAGCTATTAATCTACGTACCTCTTAAATATATAAAAGGTTCGTCATATTTGTTATTGTTTCTGCGTCGTCTTCCTAATGCTTACGAAACGTTCAAACGACTGTCTTTGAAGGTGGAATACTGCTAGATTCCCCGATAGTACTTAGTATCTGGTTTGAATGTCATATGTAACACAAAATTGTGAGGAATGATTTGCAAAGAAAGATTTGTGACGTCAATATATCTGTACAAAACCTATGTGGTTGACTCAATCTTAACTTATGGTAGTCTCGAGACCCTCAATAGAGACATATATAAGCTAACTAAAACATTTAATTCGTATAATTGGTTTATAAAACGAAAAACACTACTAAGAAAATTGTCCAACCTTTTAAAGCATAAGTATATGAACTTTCGTATGACTAAATTACGTATTTCACATATAAAAAATATATTATACAAATCAAATATTCTCTAACTAGTCGAGTTGCGTTAATATAAAGATTTTCTTTAATGAACGCGAATATGGTTATTTTTAACTCGTATCCGGTACTATGAATCACATACAAACAACGATTGCGGTTTGTATTGTAAATAGGACAGCTCGACTGATAAGGTATAATTCAAAAAGTTTTTATTTAAGTTGCAAAGTTCATAAAGATTTCTTTGTTACTATTAGCCGTTTCTCTCAAGAAGGCTTAACACCTTAATCTAGCAAAGATTGAAATGAACTTTATATTTAAGCTGTTTTAGCTTTTAGATTCTTTTAATGGTACCTAAGCTCTTCCTTATTGTAGACTAGCTGTCGCCCGCGACTCCGTCTGCGCGGAATTAAAAGAAAAACTATTGGTAACAGCGTAATGTTATATAGCCTAAAGCCTTCCTCTATAAATGGACTATCCAACGTATACTTTGCGTATGTCTATGGGCAACGGTCACTTCGCTATTTCAGCGATTTCAGGTAGCCGCTCGCTCGTTTGCCACCTTATGATATAAAAAAAAGAATATTTCTGACTGAATTAATGTGTGACTTTATATTTCATTTGTAAATAATCTAAAGTAATTGAATTTTCGTGTTGATAATTTATGTTCGTGATAAATGTCCCCTCGACGTACTTTCACTTATTAGGAATATTGAGAACACATGCTTGTTCCCCTGCGTTGTTTCGTGACACAAACAATAAAACTACTCGTATAATATCTTCATTTGATATGAATAGACTTTAATCACACTCGATAAATTTGAATTACTATTCTGTCCTATATTCAATGGTCCTTTACGCTTATAAGAACCTTCCGTAGTTATTCTTCCTTTGAAGGTGACGCATTTTTTATGTTAGGTGTAGTTGGTATTATATATTGAGACGATAATAATATGTTTTTTTAATAATTTCTACTAACAGAAGTATCATTCGAAAGATCAGTATACCCATTGGAAGTTGCGATATTCGAGACGTACAATCCTGGTGCGTTGGTTCGTATCTGGGCATTGGGTACTGGGGCCTGGTTTCTGCTGTGGGAAGGAGAGCCTGAATACGCCGGCGACAAACCAAGAATATTTAGTCCGCCTATAAAACAAATTAATTTTCCGACAAGGTGAGTTTCATACGTCTACGTCTTAAAACCAGTATTACGATATTATTGCCGTCCTTCTTATAACCTTTGTGAAAACAGAGACAGCTGTAGTGCTTATATACAAATTTGCATGCCTTTAAAAGATGATATAGGGTGTATTATTTGCGTCTAATTTGATTGTTAGGCTAGTGGATTAATTGGCGCAAGTTTCTCGAGCAAAAAAGAATACATCCTGTCGTTTTATCCTTAACACTTTCAGAACCGCGGAATTCTCTAGCGATTCTAGTGATTTTTTTTCTGACAGGGTCCTTCGTTTGGAGTTCAACCATCGTCTGCTACCGTACTATACGGAGTTAGACGCGGTGTTACTTCGAGGAAAAGAACCCGCTAATGAAAGCAAGATGAAGAATAACTTTGCCTATTCCACGTTGTTTTACAAGAAAACACAACCACAGCCTCAAAATGGTAAGTTTCTATTGCTTATTGTAGGCAGTTTTGTTTGGCGAATCAGATAAATTTTTATCTCCTATACCACATACTATTCCTTAGGTGGTTGACGTGTGTTTTAAGTAGTACTAGCTGTCGCCCGCGACTTCGTCGTCGCGGAATTAAATAAAATCTTAATAAGTACCCTGCGTTCTTCCATACTATGTTCTATATTTATACCAAATTTTGTCGAGTTCTGTTTAGTCGTTCTGGAGATACCTTCATACAAACATTCATCCATCCATCTAAACATTCGCAGTTTAAAAATTAGTAAGGAGAAGATATTATATAGTAAGATTTAAATTATTCCGCTATATTTTTGTTAAATATGTTTGTCATATTTCATCATACATATATGATTATTTTTCTTTGATATGCCATAGTTTTGTTTTGATCCATTAAACAAGTCTTAATTGTTTTTTAGATCAAAAGGTGGCAAACGAGCGAGCGGCCACCCGAAATCGCTGAAATAGCGAAGTGACCATTGCCCATAGACATACGCAATTGCATATTCGTTGCCTACCTTTTATCGACGGATGAGAGGATGCACAGAAAGAAAATATCTTCCCTTTCCATGCATCCTCTCATCCGGAAAGTCCACTTCCACTTCCAATCCTTTCCTTATAAGGAGAGGATGAGAAGTGGAAAAAGGACTAAATTAGGACTCCGGGACGAGAAATCCCAAATTTTTGTCCACATCGGACATGTCAATCCCATAGTGCCTTTCCTTATTATTAAATAAACGAGCTGGCACAATCGTACCGCAATCGTATCTGAAAACAGGTTGAAGACAATTTTCCTAATTTATTTATCATGGTCATTAATTTACATGCATAAATTACTCTTACTTGCTTTATGGTCTTTGTACAATTAGAGGATGCATTCGTTGCATAATTTTGTACATATAAAGAATTTTTAACTGTTTCAACATTACAAAGGGAGGTTACAATCTCTTTAGATGGCTATAGTAAAACATCGTAACTGCTTTTGAATATATTTAAACGTTTCTTATTAACTTTTTAGCAAAGACCACCTGCGGTTATCATTTACTAAATATTTAAAATTATACTTTTTAATTCTAGTATGATTAAAGTACTAATTAGTGCATCGGGTTTTTGAGTTCTGTGCTTAAATAATACGTATCCATGGCTGAAATCTGCACAGTTTTTTTTTAGAAAAAGGCAAAGATTAAGAGTTTTGAAAATGGAAACCGATAAGAATTTATTAATTAAAAGAGATTTATAGATAAAGTTGAGCGTCGGTGGCTCAGGGGTCAAGCACTTGACTTGCAATCTGCAGGTCCTGGGTTCGAATCCCGCCATGTACCAATGTGTTTTTCGATTTTCCGATTTACATATGTACATTTATCCGACGTTCTTCGATCTCTCGACGGCGAAGAAAAACATTGTGATGCAACCTGCACATATCTGAGTCAACCAACCCGCACTTGGCCAGCGTGGTTTACTATGGCCTAATCACCCTTAACTTAGGGTAGGCTGCGAGCCTCTCGGTGGGGACGTATAGTGAGTTGATGATGATGAGGTAAAGTTTAGATTTATGACATTTTATGTCGCTTGTTTAATACTCGCCTTTTTAAAAGTTTAATTATTCAAGTGATCATTAATTATTCGCAACCTTCGTTTAGAATATAAAACGATTCGATTGTAAATTATTAACAATTATCTATTGCTTTATTTCTTAATAGACTATATAATTATAATTTTAATAATAGCATAATTTATTATAATTGTTAGAAAAAGTGTAGCAAATTGAATCATACTAATAAATAAATGTGAATGTTTAGATGGATGGATGTATGTTTGTTTAAAAGTATCTCCAGAACGGCTGTATGGATCTCGCTGAAATTCGGCATAGATGTAGAACAAAGTCTGGAAGAAGATATGGGCTACAAATTAAGATGTTTTTTAATCCGCGCGGACGGAGTCGCGGGCGATAGCCAGTTCTAAAATAAATTAGCGTAAACTAGATAATTAAACAGCAATAACATAGCTGCGAAGGATGAACAAAACATTTATCTGTCATTGCCAGAACAAAGTCTAATTTTATCATTTTCACTGATAATCGCGTTATAGTCTCAATGTGATCGAGACTATATTGTTTTGGTAATAATTATTGTCCAGACGAATCACGTTTGTCCAAAGAAACTTATTTTTACATATATTTAGATATTAAATTTAACAAAATCAAGGTCAAGAGCAATTTAACAGTGGTAGAGCCCGCTTTAACATCTTCGTACGAATTGGCCCGGTTCGCCCGGTGAAATACTATGTCCACACAGAAGACAGGCGTGAAGTGGAAGCAATTCCGCGTTTCGTCTGATGAGTGTGCGTCCCGGAGGCCTAATTTAGTCCTCTTTCCCTTCCCACCTTATTCGTATAAGGAAAGGATGGGAAGTGGAAGTGGACTTTCCGGATGAGAAGATACATGGAAAGGGAATATACTTTCTTTCTGTGCGTCTTCTCCTCCGTCGATTAAAGGTAGGCAACTCATATGCAATTGCATATGTCTAGGGGCAACGGTCACTTCGCTATATCAGCGATTTCAAGTGGCCGCTCGCTCGTTTGCCACCTTATGATATAAAAAAAAAATTACTTAGTTTGCCTATACTAATATTATAAAGAGGAAATATTTGATTGTTTGTATTGAATAGGCTCCGGAACTACTAAACCGATTTGAAAAATTCTTTCGCCATTGGAAAGCTACACTATTTCCGAATCATACAGGCTGTATTTATTGCTAGATATTTTTATATTAAGCGCGGATGACAACTGCTAGTTAGTACTAAATAAATGAAATATGTTTTAGGTCTACTAAATAAAGTGATGGCTTCGAATCTGCACGAGAAAGTGGTTCCACCAATGTTGGTATCACAGAAGGAACTACCTTTTGATACAGGACCTCCTCTTGGCGATTTTCAAAGGTTACCGGTAAGTAATCAATGTTGCCCCAACTTTACAATGTCACTGAGACCTTTCCGAGGGAATGTAAATCGTGGATACTAATGTTGTACAGTTGCGTCACACAACATTGAATTCAACAGTGCATATCGCTTAGCGACTAGAATCGCCGGGTTTCGAAGATTTATAGCCATAGTTCCAGAATTCACAAACGCGACTTTGACAACGTTGCACGTCTTGTCACACGATTTGGCAGAAATTCCATTTTAGCAATTAAAAATTATGTAGCGGAACCGGACTGTAAAGGTATCTCTAATAGTTTTTATCCAAAATTATAATTGTATCCAACTTTTTATACAAACATTGTGTTTATAATTTATTCTTATTACTTGTGTATGTAAGTGTATTTTTTCCCAAACAGGCGTTTACTAATATTTTACAGTTTTCTTGTTGTCATAATAAAAAATCAATTCCGACCTAAAATATTCGGTGTGCTAATTCAGCGGACAAACGGAAAAAACCCATGGAAAATTTTTCAAATCCACATTCGGAAATCGCAAAATCGTCAAACGATTTTGAAGCTTATGAACTTTAATATAGGATTTATTTTAATAATAAAGTTTTTTTAAGCAAAAGTAAATGCAAGCGGGATGTGAAATATCAAAGAAACGTGACTCTGTACTGTATAAATTTTATTTGTGGGGCCACATTGAGAATTTTAAAATATAACACGTGCAAGAATCTTTAGGAGACGTAAAATGTTTTGAATTCGTTCTTTGTTACAGCAAAGGTTTGATAAAAATAAGTTGCCGGCCTTTGTATAGAGTGAACTTTACTAAGCTATCCCGTACCTTTAGTTCCAAAAGTGACGTCGAGGTCAAGAGTTACTAAAAAGAGTTGTAGATCTAAGTTCGTCAGATAAGTACTCTAATTTTCGAGTTATTATGGAAAAGGTATTAAAAGCTAAGTGAACATAGGATATGATACTTATTTAAGCTACTATGTGAAGATAGATTTTATCATCGTATGTACTACGGCTCCTTTAAGGTCAACTTTTTTATCATGCAGTTAGCGTGTCTCTTCATTTAACAATACATTGCGTCGTAAACAATGCTAAAACAATTGTTCACTCTCACAGCTCTGAGGGTCTAGCACGAATCCGTGATTACGTCTTCGTAATGTTATCGACACAGCATTTATTAATAATTGTACACCCCTACCTGTGGTAAACTACACCAAGGTTCATAAAAATGTCACATTATTTATTACCGAAGTTACAAATATTCGTGATAGGCCCCACCATTATAACCTCTTGAATATTGCTTATTGAGTAAACGAAAACAATAATTTTAACTTTTAAAGCTAAACTTGGACAATCAAGAATCATAAGGAAATAACTCATTGACTTACTTCAATGGATAGAATTCAAAAATAGAACGCATTACTATCGTTTATATCTTTATCATAAACCTATGATAAGTTTGTATTTATATGGTTATCATATGTTAGTTTAGTATATCTACGTTTATCACACACGTAACATCCCTGACCTAGCGTCTGACAAAGCGAGATAGAGGATCGCATGCCGGCATTCATTATCGACCTATTTGTTTATCCGTTACACAGATGCGTTTCACAATACTGTCTCGGAATTTTCACTTAATTCATACAATATACTCAATGTTATTGTTATAACCACGGATTTGTATTGATCGAATTGGTCACATACTGCTTACTGTTCATGGGTTCCTGAGATTAAAATTCTTTTTTTTTTTTTATATATCATAAGGTGGCAAACGAGCTAGCGGCCACCTAAAATAGCGAAGTGACCGTTGCCCATAGACATACGCAATTGCATATGCGTTGCCTACCTTTAATCGATTTCCCTTCTCGTGCATCCTCTCATCCGGAAAGTCCACTTCCACTTTCCATCCTTTCCTTATAAGAAAAAGTGTGGGAAGGGAAAGAGGAATAAATTAGGCCTCCGGGACGCACACTCGTCAGACGAAACGCGGAATAGTTTCCACTTGACGCCTGTCTTCTGTGTGGTCGTGGTATTTCACCGGGCGAGCCGGGCCAATTCATGCGTAGATGTTAAAGCGGGCTCTACCACTGTTAATCTTCTATAAAAGATAAGAATTCTTCTAGAATAAGAGGGATGACGATATGTTTTAAATCGGGATTTTCTTCTCGTAAACCAACGATAAGGTGTCTTGTTTATGGAGAGTCTTGGAATAAGTATCATCATCATCAGCTCACTATACGTACCCACTGTGGGGCTCGGACCCTACCCTAAGTTAGGGTGACTAGGCCATAGTCAACCACGCTGGTCCAGTGCGGGTTGGGTGACTTCACACATATCTTTGAATTTCTTCACAGATATGTGCATCACGATGTTTTCCTTCACCGTAAGAACGTCGGATAAATGTACATATGTAAATATAAAATACATTGGTACATGGCGGGATTCAAACCCAGGACCTGCAGATTACAAGTCAAGTGCTTAAACCCCTGAGCCACCGACGCTCTATATATAAGTATAATTTGCTTAAATTGAAAAACTGTTGAGAGATTTTAAATCCGTGACCACTATGTTGTGAAATTATTTATTGCATTTTTGTATATTTACATTTCTATGTTTTAACCGAATCAGCTATATGTCAGTGTCTATATACGTCATTTTCTTGAGTGGCAAATAACTGGAAATAATATTTGTGATATTTAATACTTTTTTACATATTTCTTTTGTCATCAATTTTGTATTTACGATTATTCAGATGGTATCAAATTTCACGCTGCGTGTATCGTTTTTGTCGGTGCATTTTCTTATAATTTTCCATTAATTTCGTTGATAAAGAAATATAAATTTGACTGACACAAGGAAATATATCTGGATAGCGTGAATCATAATTTTAATTACGTAATTATTATTTGTTTATGTTTTTATATTGTGCCAGTTATTTTTATAGGCTCTTAGAAAGTAATAAAAAGGAAAAGGAACTCTTTTACTTATTAAAACATAAATTATCAAATTAATGCCTATCTTGACTTATCTTTATTACACAATAAAACTTATCTTATCTTTCTGCGCGACATCCATAGAAAATTAGCTACGTTTTGTTTTACTAAAGTTCTGAAGTACTATTCAGGATTAAAAATAAACTGCATAGGGACCACTCTTCTTTTTTTAATTAAGAAAACCGACAAACGAGTTATCCTGTCACCTTGTTTTAAGTGACTCTACCCATAGACATCGGTAAAAACTTAATCTGTTGCATACGTTGTCTATGACAAATGGATATTTACTGCCCCATTTTTATGACTTTTAGTACAGCAGTTGCAGCATTTATTTGTATTGTTACAGGACGAGACTATCCTAACAATAATGAGGTATCTCGACATGCAATCGTTGAATCGTTGCGCTCAAGTGAACCGTCACTTCAATAGACTTGCATTGGATTCTATTCTATACCGGTGCATCGATTTGCGACCTTATTGGCATTGTGTTAGATCACAGGTTTGTTCACCTTTAAAAGTAATCAATTCATGAATTTACTTATTTTGTTAAATTGTAACAGTTCTTAGTTTGAAGTAGCCTCCCCTAAAGAATTATCATTCTATCTCTTTTCTCTGTATCTTTAAAAATAGAGGTAGCGATATGTTTTACATGACTGTAATATTCATAAATGTCCAGTTTAGGTTGACCCATTGTTAGTATGTATTTATTTATAAGTACGTAATATTTCAGGTTCTAAGTATACTGGCGACGCGCTGCAAGTTCCTGCAGAAGCTTGACCTGTCGTGGTGCGGCAGTCATTGCATGATACAGTCTCATTACGTCACTAAGTAAGTATGGACGGAAAAAGGTCGTATGTGCAATACTTAATGATATCCATTGTTTGAGTTAATTATTCAGTTTTATTGCCGATGAAAACAATGTTGCGATTATTTTAAATGACTAGCGGTCGCCTGCGACTTCGTCTATTTGGAGTTAAATAAAATAGTCTATGTGTCCTTCCAGGCTATGTTCTATGTGTATGCCAAATATCATCGAGATTCTTTCAGCCTTTGTGGAGATGCCTTCAAATATCCATTAAAACATTCGCATTTATAATATTAGTAAGATTAAAAGACTCGTAAGTCGTGATTTTAGTCGTTTTTGTTGTTTTCTAATTAATTTCCTATGTGTTTTGTAGATTCCTGAAACAAAACTGCTCGGAATTGACACATCTTAGGATGAACTGCTGTGAGTTTGTCGACAATTCGGTGCTGATATCTATTGTGGATAGTTGCGCTTATTTACAAGGTAAATATTTATAACACCTTATTATTTAAACCCTTTTTCCACTAGCACGACTAGCGGAGCTACTACTATTTATATGTAATTTACTATTTCTTTTAACGGTAACATAGTAAAAACAGTTGGTCAAAATCGCGCCAGTGAAAAAAGGTTTTTTTTATTCGGAACTCTATTAATAAACGTCATTTGTTTACAAATTAGTCATTTGCAGAGCACACAGATAAAGCTTTCATGTATTAACTGGAAGTGACAAATTTATAGCAGTATTTTGTTTATCTCACGTGATGTTATCAAATTATTTGAACGTACTTGCGTCATCGGATTATACCTTTGAGATGACCTTGTTTTCCTTTCGAAGATTTATAAGTTTGTTCCCAATACATTCATAAAAAACGGGATAAATTATGATGAAATCTTTGTAGGATATTCTAAGGACGCCCAAAAGTATTTTAGTGATTTTTATCACGTTTAATTGGAACTTTTTTTTAATAAGCTTGTGCTAGAATATGGTTTACGACAATAGTCGAATGGCGGGATTCGAACCCCCGACCTCGTGATCGGAAATCCGTACCCCTAACCATTAGGCTATTGACGCTTACCACTTTATGTCTGCATTATTATTTTCATTATTTTTACTGCTAGAAAGAACAGACACTGTGCCGGTGTATCGGAGCAACACAAGACCTGTATAATAATCCTAGCATTCTCCCACGACTCCGTCCTCGCAGGACGAAAAAATCTGAATTTATGTATTCTTTCAGACTATGTTCTACATTTATGTCAAATTTCAACATAAATTGCAGCGGTTCTGTAGATACTTTCAGACATCCATCCATCTTGGAAACTTTCGCATTTATAATATTAGTAAGACCAACGCTTACATCTCCGACAAATCGTTCTGACACTTGATTTGGTAACGAAAGCGCGCCATTCGCTCCTAATGATTCCAATATTGTCTTAATTTATTAAAAAAAATATTTTGATTTTTTCAATGTATGCCGCGCCGCATTCAGTTAGTCTTATCATTTGTAGATATCTTGTAAAGATGAATGCATATTGTCATAGCACGTTGGCAACTGTACGAAGGTATGCAGGGTCGTCAACAGTATTTACTGACATGATTGGCTATTTGTCAATCTTACGTTAGCTAAACGTCTGGAATAATAAAATATAAGAGGCGATTGCTCTCATTACATTGCTTCGGTTCACAATTCTTTTTTATTTACTAAGTATTTGGGACAGATTTCTCTCTTATTTTCTATGTATTACTAGCTGTCGCCCGCAACTCTGTCTGCAGGATTAAAAAATAACTTTATTAGTAGTTTATGTGTGTCAGACTATGTTCTATATAGAAATTTCAGCGAAATACTTTTAGGCGTTCTGGATATACCTACAAACACCCATCGATGTTTTGGATAGATGGAGAGCGTGTGTATGTTTGTTAGAAAGTATCGCCAGAATCTCTGTATGGATCGAGCTGAAATTTTTGAGGCATAGATTTCGAACATAGCCTGGAAGAATACATAGGCTACTAATTATTAAATTTTTATTTCGCGCGGATGAAATCGCGGTCGATGACTATTTATAATATTAGTAAGATATTAAAGCAAAATTATAATTAACAATGTGTTATTTTTCAGAGCTGTGCCTGCGATCAGTGATAGGTTGCTCGGACTGGATCTACCTGTCCGTGCTGAAGCATCTCCGGCGACTGGATCTGTATCGTACAGACATCGGTACGACGGCCGCGGTGGCGGTGGTGCGAGCTAATCCACACTTGCGGCATGTTAATGTTGGTACGCGTTTTTATTTATATATGAACTAGCTGTCGCCCGTGACTCCGTCCCCGTGGGATTATAGAACTTAATTAGTAGCCTATCTGTTCTATATGTATGTCAAATTTAAGCTTTTTTTGATGAGCCGTTCTGGAGATTTTCTCTAACAAACATCCATCCAAACATTCTCATTTATAATATTAGTAAGATAGAACTGTGATTTCCAAAGAGGTCTGAGTGCACCTCTAAGTCTATGGACGAATCGGCGCTCTACGATGGTGATGAAAACCTTTTTTTTGTTTAAAAAAATTTGTGATAAAAGTTTTGGATTCTGTTATTTGAAAGAATATAGTAAGATTGATCGCTTTTGTTTTTATATAAATTTATTTGATGTATGTCATTGTTCAGGATTTTTAAATTTTACGGATTAGGTAAATACTAAATATGGGTCATTCTATAGGGGGGGGGGGGATATGACTAATACTTAGATTTAATTGCAGTTAATTCCTTTAAGCTTAACTTAAAGTGCAAGTCCATTCATCTACGTACATGGTAAGTCTGTTCGGTGAACAGTTGTATTAGAAAAATAAAAAATAAGATCTCTAGTTAGTCGTCTCGGAGGCCTTAGTCGAATCTCGCAATATGCCATTGTTTTTTTACCATATGCACATTTATCTGACGTTACGGTAAAGGAAAACATCATGCTGCACATATTTGTGAAGAAATTCAAAGATATGTGTGAAGTCAACTCGCACTGGGCAAACATTGATTATGACCTAGTCACCCCTAACTTATAGTAGGCTCCCGAGCCTCACAATGTGGACGTATAGTGAGCTGATGATGATTATAACATATTAATTTTGTGTTTCTAGGTTCGTGTAAAATGATATCATCAATGGACGAGGTGGCCATCGCTTTAGGTGCTAATTGCCCGAACCTTATCTCCGTAGACTTCTGGAAGTCGTACTCTCTGACCGCTGTCGGCATCAGGGCGCTTGGTAACTGTAAGATGTTGCAGGAGTTGGATGTCGGATGGTGGTAAGTAGAACAATATTATGGTAGAGTTAGCCTATGTGTACTTCCAGATGTACATCTATGCCATATTTCAAAGCTATCGATGCAGCCGTTCTGAAGATACCTTCTAACAAATATTTATCAAATCGCAGTGAACCAGCGTGGTTGACTATGGCCTAGTCATTTTAACTTAAAGTAGGTTTCCGAGCTAGGAATATGGTATACGGTTTATAGTGGGGTGATTTAGATATTAGAATATTTAGGCAAGGTTTTTATTCGCAGTCTCCAAGCGGGCAGTTCAGGTGAGTGGCTGTCGTGTCTCGCGGGTACGGAGCTGCGCAAGTTGTTCCTGGGCGCGCTGCGCGGTGTGTGTGACCGGGACCTGCGCGCGCTGATACCGCGCACCCCGAACCTGGCTCAGCTCGACCTGCTGGGTGTCAGAGCTGTCACACCGGATATATGTACATAGTTAGTAAAAAAAAAAAAACAAATAATTTATTAATCAGGCCGATGAGGCTATTAATTATAGTCGAAATAGGATAAGTGACAGTCTATCCGGTTACAAAAAGATTTAAGCGTGAAATTTAGTTATTAAAATTTACAATTCCTTTTACTTTTCTTTTTGTGTGTAGTCTTATAAAAAAAAATATTTTAAAGCACTATACTATGGCTATGGCATTTTTATCGTGCTTTATTTTTTTTTAGTTGAAATATAATATTACAGATATATTCTTTTATTTCAGCATACTAGCGCGATGTCAAGAATTAAGACTGTTAGATGTAAGCTTCTGTGATCAGATATTGGAGTCTCAGGTAAATATATATCAAAGTATATGTATACATGATATTTAAAATTAGCGTTTTCCTTCGGGTCAATCGGCCTATTAATCAATCGGCCCGATAGTAAAAAACCTATTGGGCCGATTCCGTCCATAGAACCAAAAAAATCCACCGTGCGGATTAATCAGTAGGTGCACTGGGATCAACGGGATACCATTCGTTCAATTCAGTCCATAGAAAGAAAAGTAAATTGGTCCGATTGATTCTATTATTCCAATCGGCCCAAAGGGAAAACACCCTTAAAAATCTTTATAGTGTAATATGGTATATATACTGTATTACAATAGTACAAAATTGCAAAGTTATCATAGGAAATAAAACTTTTGTAGTTTTTTTTATAATTATTTCGATGTATTATATTTTGTAGGTTAACGAATGGCGGCTACAATACCCTCACGTCAGTATCAAGAGATCGTTCCAATCGGCCAACCTCAGCGCACCTCCGAGCCCGATGTTCCTAGCGCCTAGCCTAGAATGATATAACGCTGAACTCTGTGATTTACTCGATAACCTCGCATGTGTGAGAGGGACAGACTATGATGCAGCCCTCAGAAGAACACGTGCGAGGGAGTCGACTGTACATCGCAGAGTTTAGACTATTTACAGCTCAGAGATGAGTGTGACAGACACTCATAAGTCAATATATAAGAGGGAGATGACTAAATAAGTCAGTGTTCAATTTTGGAATTTGACTATTAAATTTGTGCAATTTTTGAATTTAATGTGGTAGTGAAAAGTGTTCATCGTTGTCTTCTATCGTATCATATTAAAGTCTCTTTGTGTAGATTTATTTAGGTCTTAGTCTAGATCTAGGAGTTAGTCGCGTGACTTTAATTGACTACATTGCATTGAATACGTTTAGAGAAAACAACTATGAAATGTCTTGATTAAGTTTTTAGATAGAGTTTTTGCTTTGATTATTTTTAAAGTGCTTAGTAAATCTTAGTGAAGCAATTTAACATATAAATTGTACAGTTTTATTAAAACCTCATAGATTTAATATTACATCTTATTTCTTGACATTAATTTATTACAATATAGTAATAATTTTTTTTATCTTAAAAGTTTACACTTCTTTTAGAAAAAAGAAACAAAAAATAATACGTTTTGTATTCTATTATTGACTTTTCAAGTTCCAAGTCTCAATCTCTATTAAATTTGAAATCAATTAAAAAAAATTAAAAGTACTTAATTGTAGCTTTAATATTTGGAAACTATTTATTTATGTGATAAATAACTATACATTCAATAATAAGACTGAAAACTAGTATTTTTTCCAAATTGACTAAGACAAAAAGTCGGTTGAAAAATTAAATAACTGATTTTAAAAGGATTTTTTTTATTGAACAAAATATTGGTATAAAATATGCATATTTGACTAATTTGTGATGTAATTTAAACTATTTAATTATTCAAACTTTCGTGAGACATTTTAATAAACTTATATAAAAACTAAACTCTCACGTATATTCTTGAGTGTTTAGCCGTTGAGCCGTTGAGCCGGTGAGTCACCCTGATGTAAGGCCCCCGATGGGCTCGAGACTAGTCGGTGCTGACACCGGACGAATATACGTGAGTGTTTTAGCCGTTTTTTATATAAGTTTATTTATTTAAACTATTGTTTGATAAATTGACAATTAAAGTGTTTTTTTATTTCAAATTTTACTTTTACTATAAATTGATCTGTATAACTAACTTTAAATTGTTAGTAACAGAAAACTGTTTGACATGTTTTTATGTAAATATTTTCTCTGTTTGAACTCAAGGTAGCCGTTTTATTTGACTTTGATATTATGTTAAATAGCGCCATCTTTTGATTATTTTTAGTACTAAAATTGTTAATATCACGATATTCCATTTTAATATTCGTAGATACATATTTTGATAGCTCAGATGTTAGAGTAAAAGACATTTTTTATATGTAAATATTTCTCTAGTAGTATCTATGAATTTCGTTAAATGGCGATATAGTGTCGTGGAATGGTCTGTCCTCGGCGGTATTTCCAAACCGCTACGACTTAGGGTCCTTCAAGAAATGAGCGTATCACTATCTCAAAGGCCGGCAACGCATCTGTGGTTCCTCTGGTATTGCTGATGTCTATGGGCGTCGTTGAACACCTTGGTGTTCCCGCTGCTCGTTTGCCCCCTTCTTTTATAAAAAGTAATATACCGTACTTTTCCTAATATACGATTTAAGACAAACGGCAACTATACTTCATTCCAAATGAAACTGCTAAAAAAATTAACCAAAGTGTCTATGGATAGAGAAAAAGGCTATGACACAATTTTAATGGCAAGTGAATGATGTTTTAAAATCAAATCAATTTTATTTATCTAAACAAAGTATTATAATTGTTAGTTAATCTTAAATGTGAAAAAAAATTTAGTCCATGGTTACGAGTCAATCGTCTTTTTAGCTGACTCTATAAGCTTATACATAAAAATGGTTGGTTTCTGCAAATATTTTGGACTTAACTAGAAATCTAACGCAAAAAGTTCATAGTCTCAAATATTTACGTTTCTTGGAGTTTCTTTTGGACTATATGTATTATATAATATTCGATTTTTAAACTATTAAATGCTAACCGTTTCCACTGCACACTTAAAACATGTTATCTGCAGTGGAAACAGACATTACAATCTATTATCTTGATGTTTAGAATCTATATGTCGTCAGTCGTAGTACTAAGATATGTTTCTACATAGCGTAATGTATGCTAGATGTACCATTATAAAGTATTGAACGAAATTGTGTTTTTTTTTATACTACCCATGTTCCTGGGCCACGTCTGCGTGGTTCTTCCAGACTGTTTTACATCTATGAAAATTTTCAGCAAGATCCGTTAACACGTTACGGAGATACCTTCTAACAAACATCCAAACATTCGCGTTTATAATATTAGTAACAAGTAATATAGATACAGACAAACCCAGATTTAAGTTTGCTTTATCAAATTTAAGATCTAAAAGTGGCCCAATAGCCCAATGTTCAAGTCGTGGGTTCGAATCTCGCCTTTCGACAACTGTGAACTATATTATAACACAAATTTCTACATAATTTGGTCATAAGAAAAATGAAACCACTCGCAATATTCTGATGATATTTTTAAATAAAAAAGATATGCGTATAATGAAATTATTTAAATTTCTTATCGCAAATGATGTTAAGTAACTTCAAATAAATTATATTTTTTTATATCAAAAGTCTGAAGCAATTAAATTATTATTTAAAATATATAGCGTGTCCAAACTTTGAACTAGAGGGCGTAACAATCTCCGATAAGCAGGTCATGTTTTTATTTTTAAATATTTTTAGTACAATTTATTACTTAAGACCATATTATATTTGTGATTTAATGAGGATTTACATGCGCGAGGAAACAAGTATTTATAAATAACATAACTAGGTTATTTCGTTTTAAAGTTCATTGTCATACAATTAAGTCTCTGAATATTATTAAACCATAAAAGATTATAGCTCAAGTAACGTATAAACGAGACTGTCTTACTCACATTGAAATCCGATGCAAGGAATTTCCGATTAAGTACAAATTGGAGACATGAGACTGTTTTAAAGCAGATCAAGATCTATTAGCGCTTTATCTTTTATCTCGTAAGTAATGGAAAAAAGATCTTCTAAGTCCAGGGGGGTTAGACAAAGTGCATTCGCTTCGAAGCAATTCCTTAGCGAACTTCACACATGTATGGACTTATCGAAAGTTATTGTCAGTTCTATACAATTTGAAGTTCATTATGGAATAGCGTCGGAGCGAATGCACTTTGTCTAGCCCCGCTGGTACACTGTTTTACTTGAAAGTATTTGTGTTATCTATAAGTGATTGCCTAAAACCTGTTGTAATAGTGCTTAAAATTGATGTAAGGACGCATATGCTTTTTTAAACAAATAAAAAAGAAGCATAATTAAATATATGTATTTAAGTATAAACATTAATATTAATAATTTGTTGTTAATTTAACTATTATCTCAAATGAAGTTATACAATTTAACTGTCATAACTCACAGTAAGGTCAGCGCGTGTTATCTGCGCGCTTTGTCCGTGGTTTCTTCTGGAATATAATGTTATAAATTTTATAAACTTTAGTTGTTTCATTTATATTTTGGTAAGTTATTATTAACGTTTCTATTTCGACTATTATTTTTTACTATCTTATTTGGTTTTAAGTTATTGTTATAAAGTTGTCAAAGCTCTCTTGAGACCTAATTGCCGAGTAAAAAAAAGTTAGGTTTCAAGTGTGTACTAAAGTGTTATTATACGTTAAAAATTGCAATTATTAAAATATAATTTGTTATTAAATATGAGTAAAGTGTCTTAAATGTCTTGTAAACTGTCGAGTTTGCAAAACGCTAACCTATATAAATGGTAAATAATTTCCGATCTGAGGACCCCGGAGTTTCCGAGATTCCGATTTCATTACGCGCATGACTTCTGACACATACTAGGTACACTTGACCGAACAAATAAGTGACATGAAATGTTTCGAATTTATTGTTTTTAACGTTTTTTTTTAAGTATTGTCATTATTAAATCAAATATCTGATTCACAAGAGTGCTACGTATGTTTTTTAGAAGACATCTTCTTATATAAAATTCTCGTGTTACCATACTCCTACGAAACGGCTTGACTGTTTTTTATTAAATTTTATATTTTATTCTATTTATTTTCAATCCCGCCCAGACGTAGTCGCTGCGGACAGCTAGTAGTTTTATAAATATATAAACATCTTTGACAATGAAATTGTCCTGTTTTGATCGGTTTGACAAATTTTAAGATAATTCAAATCGTATGCCTTCTAACACTACGAGGAATAATAGTAATTGAAGGACAGAATTGCAAATAAAAAAGCTTTTAAAATATATTTAAGGTATTCACAACGTAGATATAAATCGAATTTTGTATAAATTCACAAAGATTTTTTCCGAAATTATTTTACGATAAAATTACCGACGTTTCGTGTGAAAATTCTCAACAAACACACGTAGAATACTGAAACGTCCCTCGTTTGTGGTTTTACCTTCGCCAAGAATTCTTATGTAAATACCAAAAGGGTTCGTGAAGAAATAAAGTTGTACTCTTTTTGCGGAGCGTATATATCTTTAAAATAATCTTTTAAGGTTTTCCCGCGTAAAAATAAGCTCTTACTCTATGGTTATTATATTTCAATTTTCAAAATGTCTTTCTATTTAAAAAAAATATTATGCAAAAATGTTAGTTAAATATTAGAATAAGAATTTTAAAGACTTAAATAATTACTTACTATGACTATTTTATCGTATTAAAACAAAATTAATCACGGAAATATGTTTAACTTTACAGAAATGTTAATTTTCGTCCTTATGGTACTTATTTTAAGAGCGTGTTCATGTGATCACCACCATCACCACAGACGAACAAATCAATTGCCAGATAGATCGACCATTGTTCATTTGTTTGAATGGAAATGGAAAGATATAGCCGAGGAATGTGAGAGATTTCTAGCTCCAAAAGGGTACGGAGGAGTACAGGTAAATATTGAGTTTTCACATTACGTCACTTAAAATATAAAATCAATGTTTTCGTACTTCATCTTCCTTTCTCTTTGGTCATATTGTATTTAGGTAACAATTACTATCCATGTTCAATGGTCCTGGTATTGGAAACCCACGGTTTGAGGGAAAGGAAAGAGCAACGCATCAAAAATACAGAATTTTATTGAGTGACTAATCTCCTTGTCGACGAATTTATAGAAAACTACTTGTCGCTCGCGACTCCGTCTAAGTGGAATTAAAAAAAATAGTAGTCTATGTGTTTAAACCAGACTGTTCCAAACGTATGCCAAATATCAGCGAAATCCATGCAGTCGTTCTGCAGATACCTTCAAACAAACATCTATCCTTCCATCCAAACATTTGGATTTATAATATTAGTAAGATGAACTTTCGTAAATTGTGAATTAATTTATTTTATAGATTTCTCCACCA